AGATTTTAAACCCTTTAGATCTTAGCTGGGGTGAGATCACTTCATACGTGTCCGTCTTTCATCCAGATTGCAGTACCTACTCCTAATTCTATGAATAACCATCCTTGAATCATATATTGACCAAACTTTGCAAATTTGATTTATTGCCTGCAGCCTCATTACCTGACTCCAGAGCTTCTAATATGGTGTCCTAACAGTGTCCTAACGAGTCCCTCACCAGAAGTGCGCTCCCTTGCCCAAAGTGTTACTTCCACGGCATGCTTCTGGTTTAGAAGTAGTACAGCAGTTAGTAGGCAGTTGTTAGTTGCTTGCGGTGAACTCTCAGCAAAAAAATCCTTAATTTAGTGATTTATGGAAAAAGTTAAATACTGCTTTGGGCCTCGTGTTTTACTAAACAAATTGGTTTGAATCATCTGATGCTGATCAGGGTCAGATTCCTGCAGCGTAATTGTGTTATTGATGTGTTATGGGAATTGTTCCTCATGTATAGATTTTTTGCAACTATTTAGCTTTTGTGCCTTTAGGGAGGCTTCAACTTAAAGAAGAGGACTTCAGTTGCATGTGTTTCTAAAAGAGAAAGCAGTTCTGTCCCTCTTTCTGTTGTAGCAAATGTATTGATTAGTGGCCAAAAACCATCTGGTTTTTAAGCAGTTAACTTATGTGGTTTATGCTAGTGCATTTAAAGACACTAAAATAATCTCAAGACTATAGGTTCATCTTTTGGTGAACAATATTAGATATATATTTCACACTACCTTTAAAAAAAAATCAGCCTCATTAAAACAATCTGAGGCAAACTTGATATAACATGACAACCCCCCCCTTTTTTTTTTTTCTTTAAATGACTAAAGAAAAAAGTAACAGTGTGACTTAGGTTTTGCTTGTCTGGTAAATGCAATGTCAATTTCTTATTCTTTAATGTGTCAGTATACATAACTTTTTAGTACCTGAACCAAAGCATACTCAATCTGTACTCACTTTAGAAGTATTTTCATATATTTTTCTGGAAAAATAAAACAATGCTTTTGCCAAATTTCAGTTTTCTTTTTTTTCAAGGAAAAACTTCCATTGTGACAGTAAGCCCAAACCTCTCAAGTTCCTTTGAAATGGAACAAACCAACTTCTATAGCAACTGCTCTGTTAGTTGGAAACCTGATTTTTTGATGTGAGGTGTAACTGCTTATTGTCCTGCCTTTCCCAATTTGGGTCTGTCTGCCCCTTTTCACAGGGAGTATTTTGCTGTATGACTTCATCTCCCTCTTTGGGGAGGGAGGGTGTCTTCTGAGGTCTGCTGTCACTGAGGAGGTCACTGTTATGAACAGAGGCCACAGGCACCTTTCTTAAAACTGGTTTGGTAGCTGGAGAATGCAGTTGGGCTCACACATTTTTAGTCCCCCATGAGGAGGATGGCAGGGGTTCAGAGTCTGCTGGTGGTGCATGCTCCGTACCATTGAAACGGCATGCTCAGCTTCAACGAGAGAGAAGATGGGAAGATGTTGCATAAGGAAGTTGTCTGAGTGTTTTTTTTATTTCTTTTAACAGTCAATTCTGTGGCCAGAATGCCTTTGTGATGATGATGCTTTTTCTTGGCTTAAACTGAAATGTGTTCTGCGTTTGCTTTGTACAGCAAGCTCAGACTTCTAGTTATGCATCTTGATCAGTATAGTTTTATATACGCCCCCCTCTTTTGCATAGTTCAAAGCTGTATGTCTAATTCCGAGAAGTGTTTGTAGCGGTCAGACTGATCTGTTACAGTTCATCAGTCTCTCTGTACTGAAGATATCAGAGGTGGTCATGATATTTTTATTCCAACTTGTGTTTCTTCTGACTTTAGACTTGGGTAAAACAGCCTTGGTTTAGGATTTAATTTACTCCAAACTTGATACTGCCTAAAACAAATTCCTTGTTGTTCTGTGTTGCAGCTGCAAGTGCCACAGTCATCATCAAGAATGGAGAATGGCCTTCAAAACCAGCCTGCCAGAATGGTACTTCAGGATCTGTCCCTTTGAAACCAGTACCGAGACCTAGGTTACACTCACTGAAGTCAACTCCGAAAGGTACATGAGTTGGTTTGTAGATAGAGTGAAACTGTAGTTCCTACTGTTATGGAACCTTACCTCTTGCAGGTGGCTGCTTCCTGAAGCAGTGTTTATTAAACAGTGGTCTGGGAAAATAGTGTGAGAAAGTAAAATCACATCAGTGGAGTTTCAAGTTTTGTAAGATTTCACAGAAAGGCTAAAATGCCTTTTTTATTGTTGTAATTGACTGGGGTATTTCAGGCAAATGAGGAGGAGGTCTACGCTCCGATGTGGCTAAGGTTTGCGTTGCACAGGGATTAAATGCACTTCGCTACGTAGCAGATGTCACTGTGTGGGGTTTGCCTTGTTTTAGTGAGTCCTTTTCTGTCCCAAAGCTCAGGCACAGACTCTGTGGCTGCTGGTGATCTGCAGGGTGATCTGAACTTATCCTGAGTGTCCTCGTCCTCATGCAGACTTTGCACAATCTTCACTACTTTCAGGACAGAAAGGACCTTGGGGGATAGGGATGGTTTTTTGAATAAGGTATTACTAGATGAAGTAACTTATTTCATAGATGAATGACATTGTCCCATCTTTCCAAGGGAAGAGTCACAGAAACAGCTTAGCTCTTCATGCTGCTTTTTCTTGGCGTTCTTCTTACTGGCTGAAGTGGAAGCAGAGGTTTGCTCTAATTTTTAAAGGAGATAAGACAATTGTGCTTTATCATCTGGTGCTAAAGGAAACATTAATTTAAATGTACTTCCTGGCTTTGTATTAAGCACTGTTCTTGTTCATCTTCCTATTTGAGCCAGGACCCCTTGATTGACCAACAGGGCTTTTCCACTTAAGCCACAAACAGCAGTTGACAAGCCATTCTCTGGCCACAATTAAAGACGTAATGGGAGCAGATAAATAAGCTTGCTGTCTCTCTCTCTTAAATCCTAGTTATAATCAGCTTGCTTCTGACCATCTTTGTGGTGAACTGGTTATTGTAATTGGATAACCCTAACTAAATACTGTGCTCCTGCTTTAGGCTTAAGTTTTAAGCTGGTATCTGACAAAATTGAGAATAAATAGAAGAGATGCCTGCCAAATGTCACGCTATAATGACATGCTTTAAAATGGTAAGCAGTGAAAAGAAACAGAATTTGCCACAAACTGTAAATCACTTTGAAACAAACACAAATTATATGGCTATCTGACAAGCTTTCTGTTGGGGTCCAACACGTGCAACACAACTATGCATTGCTCAACATCTTCAGTGACCTGGGCACTAGAAATGTGCCTCGGCACCTGCGGGATCAGTGCGGCTAGAAGCTGGTATTCCCCCTTCTCATCTCAGTGTTACTTGGACTAGTCTTATGTTTTTTGGGGCCTTCCCAGGTCAAGAGGGTTGTTTTGAAACTGAAAAGGTCAACTGGAGACTTAGGAAGATGGTCGTGGTCTCTGACCAGATGACTTGTGAGCAGAGGTTGAGGGAATTAAGCTTGTGTAGTCAGGTAAAAAGAAGAGTAAGGGGACGTACTGTAACAGTCTGCAATAACTTCAAAAAAGATGGCTACAAAGGTGATGGTGCCAAACTCTTCTCAGTAGTACCAAGTGGTAGTAATGGGAAACAATTGCAAACTGTGGAGTGGGAGACAGGGCATTGAACAGTGGGTTCACAGAGCCTCCCTTCCTGGAGGTTTGCAAGGCTCAGCTAGACAAAAGCATGGTCAACTGATCTCATCTTGGTGGTGGCCTGCTCTGAGTGGAAGACTGGATAGTTGGCCTCCAGAGGTGTCTTTCAGCCGATGTTTCCATAGATGTTTGCCACTACTTTGAGACTTCAGTAATTCAATCCTAGTGCTAAAGTGAAATCTTTAGTAATGTTTTCTTCTGTTTAGAAGCTTTATTAAAACTTATCTTTTTATTTCTTCTAATGTGAGTTCTGGTAAAGCAAAGTTAAGTTAAATTTAACTTAAATTTTCTAGATGTCTCTTTCTGTGTGTTTGATTTGTGCATCTTATACTTAACTGTAGATATATAATGTTAGGCGTGTCTTTAATTGCTGCCATAGTTGTACTTTTAAACCTGATCTAAGCTTCTACTTCTAGGAGCCAAGGCCAGGTCTGCTTCACTGAACCAGTGCATACCAAAATCATGTGGGCCACTGAACTCAACAAGGAAAGTCAGTGAGGCTAGAGGTAATCAGCTGTTGGGTAAAGTCAATTTTTCACTTACATCGTTGAATCTCTGTCTTGAGAAAGAGCAACTACGCTCTGTGGCTTCAGGGTAATTGAAATGGTCACTCAGCTCTTTTTCTTTGTAGTTCATAATATTGGAGACTGGCTCTGCAAAGTGTTCCTTATGTATTTGTTTCATCGGGGTGGGGCAAGGGAAATCAGGGCATTCATTGTCTGCTATCTGCTTAAAACTTGCATCCCATAAGGACTTGGAATACTTGATAATGTCTCTTTATAAGCAGGTGACAAAATATCAATAAGGTCATATACTTGTAAGACACAACACAGACTAGCTTTCCCAAGTTTGTGTTTAATTTAAGCAAGATTCTTCTGAGATCGTGCTGGTCAGCTTTGGCCATGGAGGATAATATTTACATTTCTGTACCAGATACTTGTTTTATTTTTTAAGTTTCAATTGAAATTAGTCATTTTTGCCAGAGTGAATCAATAGAATAGATATGAATCACTCAGGCAAGCTCTGTGAGACAGAATTTTCGCTTTGGGAGCAAAGTTTCATTTGTGTGGATGAGGTGAGGGAAACAAGTATGGTAATGGTATGAAGCAGATTGTTTCCTATTGAAATACCTGCTATTGGATCACACGCTATTTGTGAAGCCTGAAGAAAGCTGATAGGTGTTATCAACAGAACTTTTATAAACTTCTGCCTGTGACTTTTGCACTTACACCTAGCAGTCCAAAAGAGTGCTTTCATTTAATTAATAGCCTTCAAAATAATGAGATTCTTGGTTCAGTTTTCACACAAATCTAAAAAAAAAACCAGTAAGGCTAGGTTAACCTCCTCAGTGCTTTCACTTGTATCTAACTTTGTTGGTAGCACGTTTGCTTTTAATTTATACCTCCTTTATACAAATAAAATAACTCGAGCATATAGGTGGAAAAAAGTTGCTGTGATGCCAGTATAGATGCTTGGTTTTTACTGTCTGTGGTCCTCTATGAACAAGTAAAATGAAACAGAGCTACCTCGCTTAAATGAAGTGTAATAATTGTAATGGGGGGAAAAAAAAAATTTGGCTTATTGGGAATTCATCACGAATTTTCCAAATAGTTAAACCTTATAATGCTAACTCTCACTGTTGAACATGCTGTCAGCCATCGCAAGGAAGAAACTTGTTTTGAAGTTGAGGAGTTCATGTAGAAAGAATCTATAAAAAGGCACCCTTGCTGCCCCTTACTGGCTTGAAGTGTAATTCTTTTTTTTTTTTTTTTTTCCCCTCCCCCTACCCCAAACATTGTAGGTATTCCTGGAAGAAATGGACACCAAAGCCTATCTTGTTTGGGTTCTGGTGAGTTTTCTGAATGTGTTTTTACATTTTCTGTGGTGCAGCTTAAATTAAATTAAGTTTATACATTATATTAGTATATTGGTTCTTTCCTTGTAAGAACAGTTTTGGAAGGGATAATTCCATAAACCATTACTGCTTCCAGTTTCAAGGCATATGGAGAAAAGTCTTGGGTTTTTCCTTACTTACTGTCTTCTGGCTACCCAGCTCTTAGAATATGCAGCCTGTGCTATCTGTCACTCTTTCCAGTGAAGCAAAAGGAGGTTTTAACAGGAGGTTTTTAACAAAAAAAAAAAAAGTATGGCAATGAAACTTGGAGGTAGTTTTTGCTGTTTAGCCACAGTAAGGTAAGTAATGATTAAAGCTCATGCGTTGTGGCTTTAAAAAAAAAAAAGTAGAAGACTCATGCGGAATAACAGGTTTTTCTGGAAGGTTCATGGTAGGTACCCTTTTGGTGTCAGCTGTCTCTGTGTCACTGCAGACTACACTTGAATAAGAAGTTGAAATTATCTGAGCGTGTTGATGTGTATGGCTGCTTGTATGGCAAAGGGAGGAATGGCAGCTGATTAAGTGGCAGATGGTGTTCCAAATTCTGGCAGAGTTTTAAGGACTTCATATTGGGTTTGTTTTTCGTGTTTATGCCAGTCAGGACACCTGGTGCTAGTTTCTATCTGCCAGGAGGCAGAAAAGTCTTCAGATGATGTTTTTACTTGCAGCAATTTCCAGGTCTCTTCAAGAGAGCTGGCAGTCCAAATTAGTTTCCCCAGCATCAGTGTGTATTTGCTGAATTAAAAGCTGCTTGTATTTAATCTCTCATTGAAAAGCCCTTTTTGAAAGATACTGGAGATCACCGCAAAGCCCTGTGTCCCCTGAGTGAATAACAGATGTCTTTCTGAAAGAGGTGCTGTAGCCAACCAGATGTTATAAATTTGAGTCTGGAATTACTGGGTAAATAGGTTCTGACCTGTAACTCTGGTACTGTGGCAGTATGTTTTTAATTTACTGTAGTCATAATGTGAGTCTAATGCTTTTGCCTTTTATTCTCTTGGGTGTCAAACGTCCACATATTAATTGTTAACAAGTACCTTGCCTGGTATCTCTCGTTAAGAGTCAGGGCTTCTGTCATGCAGCAAGCGTAAGACTTTGCGCAAAGTTCTTACTCTGTTTGTTTGCTGCTTTTATTGATAATTGGCTGAACTACTGTTAGTGTCCGGCTATAACTAAACTGAGTTTCATGACCTTTTATATGTAGTCCTTTTATATAGGAGTGTAGAGGATAACACAGCTAGCAGCATAGTGTCTTGATTAGCTCAGCTGAGGAAACTCGTGATAAGCAATGAAGTCCATTTCTGGACTAGAAACAGAAAATTAAATTCCTCTTTGGCTTGCTTATAATAGCCTTAAAATATAACTTTATTTTTCCCTAAATTTAGCATGCCACTTCCTCTGGATTTTCCATGCAGAAAAGTAATTAGTGCTCCCTCCCCTTTTTGCTAGCTTAATATAACTTTTCTTGTGATTCATCTTTTCCAACCTAATAAAGAATGTAGCCTTGAAGTATTATATTCAATGCTGTAAAAACACAGCTATAAACTCCAAACTGGCTGTCATATTTAGTGATTCTTTAGCAAATGCTCTTTAGCATCATGCTTTTGCCAGTTGAATACCTATATTTGTGTTTGTACCTGAACTGTTTTCTGTACCGAGTCAGCTTCCAAAATTAGAGGATATGTTAGACTTTGAAATAAATACATTTCTAAATTATACAGACCATTAGTATAATTTTCCATTTATGCATGCAAAGCTTTCAGATGCAGTATTTTTTTTTCTGTCTTCAGTTGCAGATAGTTCTTACAACAGAATAAAAATATTGTGTAGCTACTTGGATGTTCTGCAGTACAATGTCTTACACTTTACGAAAAGACAAATGATCTTTTTTGAAATGAACTGAAATAATACCAGCTGGTACCAGTGGAATGGGACCCACTATTTATTATTTTTTTTCCGTGGCCTTGATACTATAGTGAAGCTTTGTTCTAGTGACTTTTAGCTAGCTAAAGCTTTTGTTCTTTTACTTCAGTGCCATAGTTAACTCTACAGTTCTCAGCCTCATTTGGTGAGGACTTCAAACCCCACTTCTGTTTCTTGCCCATGTGCTCTCTTTGAAGAGTCAGGACTAGTTTCTTGAGGCAGGACTCTGGTAAAAAAAAAATTGATTACCATACTAATGCACTAATTAAGTGTCTAGCTGAGTTATTAATGTTACTTTTAGCATTACTTCAAGGATGGAAAAAATAGCAGGCATTTCTAGGGTATGATGTCTGTTCTCTGACTGTTTGTGCTCTTTATTCATTTTCCATTCATTTACAGCAATGATGCCAACCCAGATACAACATGCTGCTGGTATGCCTGTAGAACTGGAGAGACTTATGTATTTGCAGCTGTTCATTTCTTGTTCCTGTTAAAACATTCACAGGACTACTTTTTGCGAATTCTATGTTTTTCATGGGTGATATTCCAGTGGATCAAGTAATTTTCATAAGTTCTGTGGCATATTGCTTCAGCACTGGCATTACTGCTTGGGCAAAATTACCTTCTTGGGCATAATACGTTTTATAACACTTCTTAACTTGCTAACTTAAAATAAGAATGTACTTGTGCACTTACTGTAATGTCTTAATGTAAATATCACTAAAAATGATGGCTCTTGTGAGATGGAATTTTGAACTGGGTGCAAAACTGCCTCTAAATATGCATAAAATCAGTGCTCTTTCCTTTGTTTCTCCAGCCCTCCCTGTAGAAACAGTGACCTACTTCTAATACCTGTGCAGTCTACTACAGCGCAGTGTGTATATGCAGTGGATATTCATAGAATGGTTTAGGTTGGAAGAGACCTTGAAGATCGTTGAGTTCCACCCCCCCTGCCATGGGCAGGGACACCTCCCACCAGCCCAGGTTGCTCCAAGCCCCATCCAGCCTGGCCTTGAACACCTCCAGGGATGGGGCAGCCACAGCTTCTCTGGGCAACCTGGGACAGTGCCTCACCACCCTCAGAGGGAAAAATTTCTTCCTAATATCTAATCTGAATCTCCCCTCTTCCAGTTTAAAGCTGTTCTCCATTCAAGTCTTACGTCTCCATTATTGACTGAAGGTTAATGATAAGTACAATAATCCCTGGTACTACGTAAGCCAAGGAAAAGTAAATATCCTTTTTGGCAGTTCTAAAGGTAAAGCTATCATTTCAGGAATAAAGCATGCAAATATTTATTGGAAAGCTTTATCCCATTGTTCAGTGATCCTTAAAGGGATGGAGGGTGTATTATGGGTAACAAGTTACTTATACTTGTGACAAAACACTGTTGTCAGGAAAGCTAGGGAAACTGCTAGGTATGCCCATGAAGTATTACCAAGTAAGAGCAATATGATTTACGTCATGTCTCTTCGTATGATGATGAAGCATACATAGTGGAGTCGGTTACTAAAGGCTATAGAAGCCATGAAAATCAAAGAAACTTGATTCAAAAATGGCATGTGTCCCATCATGAAAGATGGTATTCTCTTGTTTTAGCCTTTTAAAGAGGTTAGAAGGCTGCTTGTTTTAATCATATGTGAGAAAAAATATAATGCTGGGAGAGGGAATAACTTCAGTCAGGTGGCTTATTGCAAAAGTGAGTAATAGTGCTGATCATGCCCAAATGAAGAAATAAGGTATAATTGTTACAGTCCATGAAGCTGTCGCTTGGAACAGGTTGTTAAAGGTGGATGCTGGCTTCTCACTCAAATTCTTATGTTGAGATAGAATGCTTTCACTAACACAATATTTATGGAGGCATAGTTTGAGGTTCAGTTAACACCTGTTTCTATCATGATCTGTTGCCACTGTTGAAAATCAGGGGAAACAGAGGGTAAACTAATTATGTTGTAGATTCACCTTTACCCTCAAAATACTTGCATCTCCAGTGTCTAGAAAACAAGGGATTAATGCACACTTCACTGTGCTTGTGCTTTTTTAACAATAGAAAATCATAATATTTTAAAAACTGTCATGACACTATATCAAAATGTGTACACTTTCTTGAAAAATGGGGAAGATTATAATTCTGAGAGCTGCTGAACATTGTTATGAGTGCCAAATACTTAGGTCTTCACTGAAGTCCTTCATCTAATTGACTGTCTTCAGCATGGTATGGCAAGTTACCCTACTGATGAGGAACTTCTGGTCAAGTAGCTTATTAGCTCTGTTTCTCTTTTACATCTGCTCAAAAAGGTTTGTTTTGGGGTTGTTTTTTTTTTGGGGGGGGGGGGGGGGTGTGGTGGTGTTTTCGTTGTTTGTCAAAGTTTTTTGAAAGTTGTAGAAGAAACTATGGAAGCAGTGTTCTTTTTGCAGGGATACTTGAAAGGACCCTCATGCATATGTGAGCATAAGTGCTCATATGGTTAGTCTTAGGATTGGGCAACTCCCCTGAGTTAAACAAGGCAGGGAAGATAGTCCTTTTGACGGCAGTTCTAGCATTAATCATGGTGCTAGCAATATGCAGAAAACAGACCAAACTGCTTCTGTCTCAGCACTTTGAGCATTCTTTTTTGATGGCTTTATCTTAGAATTCACTTTTAATACACTTTTTCTGCTGTATGACATAAACCTTATTAGGATTATTATCAGAGAATATAGACAGATACTATATTTTTCTTGATTACCCAACTTTGCAGATGCAAGGTTAAGTGTAAAATTAATTGTCTTTGGTTCAGAAGAATGGCCATTTATATAAAAAAAAGTCCCAGAGGTCTTAAACTGTTTTTTAAAAAAAAAAAAAGTCCTCAACCCTCCTCAACAATTCTGATAGAAAGTACATGTTGCAGAGCTCTACCTGGCAATTTTCAAACAAAATGTGTTTCAGTATTGTCTAAACAGAAATTTTATGTATCCATTAAAAACAAAAACCCACAACAAAACATACTATGGTATTAATACATGACAATTTTCCATGAAGTAAAACTACTTT